GCAAGTCTGACGATTCACCATCTACCGTGCGATATCTGGCATGTGTGCTTGCATGTGTTCGTGCATCAAAGTTGTCAGCCGCCGAGCGTGTAATGTGATCCGGGAGGGGGGAGAGCGCGCGCGTCGGCCTGCGGCCCGCCCGGAGAGTCCCTTGTGCGGCTTGTTTATAATGTAAATCTCCCCGTACAACCGCGTGTCTGAGTAGCTGAGCGCGGACGCCGGACCTCCGCCGCCGAGACACGGACAGAGGGCACACATTTATTGCCTTTCCGGACTCAGCTGACACGTGACAGTGATGCTGATGGCTGATGGTGATATGCTGTTGCTGATCGTGGTGTTCGTTGGAGTTGGTGGTGTTGGTGGTGACAGCTCTCAGGAGGAGAGCGATCTAGGGCTCTGGCTGAGGTCATGGTGATCAAGTGGATGTCGGAACAGCCTTTAGCGAGGCGCCGGCCGTGAGTGGCTCTCCCAGGCGCTCAGTCCACGGGGGAGGCACGCCAGGCCCCGGGGTGCCGGCCGTCACTCGCCTAAGCGCCTAAGCGGCCTAAGCGGGGGGTGCTTAGGGTGCTTAGGCGCTTAGGCGGCCCTTGCGAGCGTGGCGGTGTGGTGATATTGTGATACAAATGACCCAGATTACACTCATGATGCTCTTGGCTTGGGTTCACTGCTCAGAGAGCAGCCTCACCGCGTCCACTGTCTACCACCGGCCCTGGTCGCACACTCCGCCGCTGCGCTGCGCTAGTGCGGCTACTCATCATCAGCCTCGTCACACGCCTTCGCCAGCTCCGTGAACTCCTTATCCAGCCGGTCCTTGTACTCTTGTATCGCTGACTTGACCGTGTCCGCACCTGCATGGTCCAGCATCGCCGTGAAAAACCCAAGCGACAGAATGGAAGCCACAGTCGTCGGGACCACTGCCGAACCTGCCAGAGACGAGGTACTCTAAGCGCTCGTCGTCTTCATCGACAGGGTTCCTCAGCGCCACCGCAGTCATCTGGCTCGGATCGCAGTATCGCACGCCGAGACCCTCGAGAAGCAGCTGGAGGAAATGCGTGCCACCTACCAGCTCAACCAGGAGAAGCTCGACTACAACTACCGCGTGCTGGTGGAGCGCGACACCGAAAACACTACCACCATCAAGCACCAAAAGCGCAAGCTGACACGGATGGCGGACGTGCTGAGTGCACTGCGCGCAAAGCACGCGCGAGAGGAAAAGCGCTACAAGCAGGTGCGTCCTCGCCCCGCCACTCGCGCAG